AAAACTACAGAGTTTCAATGCCTAAAACTGACAAACAATGAGTCAATTTTCATGAAGAGTATCAAATATAACCATAGCAACGAAGAAAAACTTTGATGTCAATTCTGTCAAAACAATTAAAATTAGCGATAATTTGTGTTATAATACATAAATAAGTGTTTTAATATGATTAGAATTGGTAAAATGTATAAAGAAAAACTATGAAAAGTACAGGTAAGGGTTCACATTAGTATAAGTAGACAAAAACATAGGATGAAAGTTCGTAGAGGTTTGGATAAGTTTATATTACAGAATTTTAATGGTTATAGATATAAAATTGAAGGACCATAGCTATAGAATGAAGAAAGTAAAGAATATAAATGCAAAACACTAAAAAGTTTATCGATATGAGTGAAATGAGTGATATAAATCTAAGGAATGAAAACGATACGAAAGGTTAGTTACGACAGTTCGTCATGCTACGCGTGCACGAAGCCTACTCTAATTCACCTACTACAATACGTTCGTTCCGAATATTCAACGAACGAAAGTAGTTTGCCATATTTATTTTCTAAACCTACTCTATTTCACGAAATAACGAAATGAACATTTGAATTTGACATCTAATTGTTCGGAATTCTTAACTCAAACTGACGAAGTAAAAAATGTTACCTTTTCATTTTCGTCAACGTCATTTTATTTTCGAAATGGGGTCTATATTATTCTTAATCGAGTCCGCTCTCAGTGAAGAACGATTAGATAGTAGAAGAAACCGACGGCGGCTTCGAAATAGCCTTAATATAAGAAATATTCCCGACACAGTTTGTAAGTATTTACAGACTCAGTTGTAAATTATTTTATGAACTATGCCAGATCATACCTTTACTGCGTCCACAGGCAAGATCCCATGCCATCGAGTCCACAATTAAAGTTGATAGATATTTTATCGTAGTTCTTGATAAAAAAAATTGCATGACTACTATTATGCATTTCATATTTTTTTGATACTACAGCGTTGAATTTTTATGCCCGAGGTAGGGACCAAGGATCCGTATCTCAAAATATGGATGGGCCTATGGCCCAACAAACAGTTTCGCGGTGTTAAGATGTTAGGACTGCCCTCAATTCACCAAATATGTATTATAAGAAAATATACTATTCCCTCAAAACCAAAATGAGAGGAATCTTATTTAGAGACAGTGAGTACCTAATAGTTTATTGCTTATTTTGGCTTTATGTATGAATTGTGAATAAATACCTATAGAATTATGTTATTAATATTACAGATTTTACAAGGCATATAGACTATGCCATTATAACCGAAAAATACGAAAAACCTTTCATACTTACTTATAAATTTTTTTAGTGACCGGTCAAGATAAAATGTCGGAACTCACACTGATTAGTTATTTAAATAAAATTATATTAGTAAACACTGAACAGTTTGGTGAAAATTGTAAAACTTTTGGCGGGATGAGAATTGTTTGTATTATACGGATATTTAAGATTGCCGTACGTTGATTATAGCCATCGTAAAAATGAAAGGTTGTTTTTAGATATGTCGGTTAATACTGTCGATAAATGAGTTCTTGATCAGTTGTATCGAAAAATAAAATTTATTATTATACTTAGTTTTTCGTTATATTATTATAATATTTAAACAATATTTAGCCACAAAAAAATTATTTAAAAGAAATATATGTATTATATATTACAAGTTACGGTAAAAACCGGAATTGACATTATAAGAAATCCAATAATGCCATTCACTCCAATCGATCACAAAAATTGTCTTTGGAATCGAACATTCGTTGGTATATACGAAAATTATATTATATTTCAGACTAATGACAGAATAATAGACAAATTTCGAGAAATCATAAGATTTTAATATATTCTAGTGGAATAGGTTCTTACCTAATGAGACTGATTCAAATATATATTTTTATAAACATTATTTATTTATTGAGTTTTATTAACCAACAAAATTCGGACTTAATGCTAATAACATTCTCTCCCAGTCAACTTAAAAAAAACTGCTAATGCGATGCCTGTATAGAGAAATAAAAAACAGTAACAAAATTAAACAGAGTTGTAAAACTCAGTTGAAATATGTTGAAATCCTGAAAGATTACCAACATACTGCCTAATTAATAGTGATAACTCGGCTATGTAAAGGAGCGCAAACAAAAGGATGTTGTAAACAAACTTCTCAATTAGATGTTGGAGTTCATTATTTGATAAGATCCTTATTCTAGTGCCGTCTGACAGCAACACAATAATTGTGTCTTCGGTTGACCATCACGTTTTCCTGCCAAAGTACTCACTAGCCGCGACAAAAATATATTGCTTTGCCTTAGTCAAGAATTCGGATAGTGCTACATTGAACCCTTCAAACAAGTTTTCTTATTCAGCCTTCAGCCATGTGATGTTTCATAGTAACAAAACGTACTAGAATGGGTCTGGAGAAATCCTTCTTTTTAGTACCAAGTCGATGACCAATCTCAATTGTCTCCGAGTCAAATTACACCAACTACATTTGGTTGTTTAATACTGTGAGGACCTTGGGAGGCACATTCTCCTTATTTTCCTTGATTCCATAGAAAAGAAGAACCTTTCGGCGAGAATGAGTATCGAGAAGATGAACACCCAATGCCAATGGTTCAATCTGGGATTTTATTATGCAAAGTGACTTCCATACAAAAGTTTTAAAAGAAGAAAATCTGTTGCCAAGGATTTAACAGTTGTATTGGACTCTCGCATTCCTGGTTGCTGAAAATTCCTTTCGAATTTGTAAATCCTGTCACTGAACAATGATGAAAGATCTTCCAGACTGTTTAGAAGTGGTTCTGCTGTTGCGTCCATGGTATTTTGGAGACAATGTGTGTAAAGGTGTATGAAACTTCAACTTAGCTACAGGAGATGTATTTCTAACCATAAAGTATTGTTAAATTTTAGTTAATTATATTTAAGTGGTAATTTTTTTTAGTATTTTTGCTTTTGAGGCTACCTACCGAAAAACCATTGTTCAAAATATACATAAACCAATAATAGACATTTACAAAACAAAACATATGATATCACTATTATTGCTTTAGTATAATGTCTATGTAACTATATTTTTAACATATTTCGTTTTCATCAGGAAAATATTAATTAAAAAGGGGAAAAATGCTATAAACACAAATTACGCAATGTATTTGCCACAGCAAATGTGACGATAAAGTTTACACAAGATTCTTATTTTTACAAAAACTATTGCATTGATTGCATTAGAAGCATTGGTTCTTTATTTCAATATTTATGTAAACTAAATGATTATGAAAACAATATTACATTTGTAAGTTTAGTTTATTTTTTTATCAATTACTCATAAATAAAAAAAATATTTGAAATGTGATATCCCTAGTCATAGTCATTGTCGTCACGACAAGCGCGCCGAATATCCCAGCGCTTAAATTGCAACCTCATTTAATTTCGTTACTAACTTTTAGTTTTTCAAAGAATGGATTTTTTTTACAGATATATAATGATAAATTTTAAAAAAGTGTGCATGTATGGTGAAAGTGTCCTCTGCCCATTAATAATATGTTTTTAGAGATTCAATATGTGGTGTTGAAATAACTTAAAACCAATTCCCTTATTTCAAAAAGGACTAGTACCAAAAGTTACAAGTATAGTTTTATAAAAGAAGAAAATCAATTTTCAATATGTTTATAGACATGTTGGTTGTTCATTTCTTTTATCAAAATACTTATTTTACACATTGAAGAATGACCTGGACCCTATGGAACTTCACAGAAAACAGAAAAATGTGCATGTATGGTTAAAGTGTTTATCGGCCAGTTGCACAAACGTTCATTAAGATTTAATGACGCCTTTAAGGTCTAACAAATGTCAAATTTGTATTGGTAATTACGCTTTAAACTAATGAAAATTTTTATGGACGTTTTTGCAACTAACTATATGCCCATTAATATGTTTTTAGAGAGTCAATATGAGATGTTGAAATTACTAAAAACCAATTCCTTTCTTTCAAAAAGAACTAGTACCAAAATTAACAAGACTTTATAAAAGAAGAAAATTGAAATCTAATATGTTTATAGGCATGTTGGTTGTTGGTTTTTTTCATTAAAATACTTATTTTACACATTTGAAGAATGACCCTATGATTTTTCATGGAAAACAGGGATTAAATAATAACTTTCTCTCCAGAAGATCAAACATATTAATTATTGTCCTTATCCTTATGCAAGTATGTATTTAGGTGAAGTAAAAATTGATATATTTTTAGCACTTTTCAATAAGTCGCTAAAGTGAGATATTCGTTTTTCAAAATGGGTAATTTAATAAATGTTTACCATAATGGATTGACTATAAATATTTTCACTTGATGATATATAAATGCCACATTGGGGTTACATCATCGGTCTATTGATACATCTCTACAATGGGGACACAGGCCTGCCTCTGGGCACAGGGACATAGGGAGGAAAAACACTGATGATTGGTGAAAAGGAAGTTCTCCTTTTCACCAAATATCAGTGAAATCATCATCATCATAGCGACTATTGAAGATAATGTAAATTAATGTTGTAAGACTAATAATAGAAGTGTGCATGTAAACAGATTTGGGCAAGTAAGAATTGTAAGCTTTGCACTTCATTGATACCTATTACATTAAAAAGGGGCAGAACTTAGATATGTTTTTTTGGAGCATTTTGCATATTTTTCAATGGCATAAGGGTTGGTGCAAATCTGACAAAAAGTCTGTCTAGCATCTAACAAAAGTATGTGTTCAGGACGGGTCATCTGTTGAGTGTGTAAGTTTTTAAGGTTGAATGTATTTCCATCATATCATAACATATATTTGTCAGTTCTGATGTTCTGCGACCCGTGAGATACAATGCATATTTCATCAGATATGTAACAACTCTTATGATACTAAAATACTTTATTGCACATGAATTAAAATAGTTCAATCAGTAGGAATAAAGACAGAAATAAATACTAATACTTACTGCTTCTTGAAGAATATGTTGAATCTTTGGATGACATTCTTCTCGAGTCCCATTCTCTAGGCTTTTCCCATTGTGACACTTCACTGACACAGTTATAGTAGTACCTTTTTCCAGAGGAACTAATGTGCTCCGACCACTCACTACCAGAATGGTCTGAACACATTGCAGCTGAAGGCGTTTTGTCATATTTACTACTCCTACTAACACTATTCATGCTACTAGTCCTACTCTTTTTTTCTGATTCACTTCGTTCATGATTACTTCTCTCCTTTTCACTATCTTTGCTACGTTTTTCTTTCGGTGATCTGACACTATCTGGAAATGTTGAAATGTGCTAATTTTAATTGTCTATGTAACAATGTTTTATTCATACACCAAATATTATTTCGCCACACAACTTAAAAAAAATCGTCAAGCAAATAGAAACAATTCGCATTTGCTTTGGTAAAAATCACATAACTGCTATAAAATTGGTAAAACTGCTTTAAAAGAATTATTATAAGTGCTATAAAATCGTTATCACATTACCATGAAAAGTATTTTTCTGACAGGTTATCAAAAATAACAAAATTTTGAAAACAAATATTAAAAACATATTCTTTGCCAATTTGATTTCTTGATTTATTAAAAATTATCTTGTTTTATTAATATGACACATTTGAAAAATTGTACACATTGATAAATATGTGTATGGCTATCTCTAAAACATGTAGATCTCTCTTTTCATTATCACTTCCCTTCTCATTGTGATAAAAATAGCTTAATAGTCAAATCCATAACATACTCATAAATTGTTAAGTCGACAATATGTTTTTAACATTAATATAATCAACACATAAAATTAACATTTGTTATAAAATTCTAGATATTTTTAAAAATATGCAAAATTTATCATGTTTTGCATAAATAGAATAGAATGCTTAATTTTTTTAATCTTGAGGAGGTCGAGATGTATGGTTAAAGTGTAGTTAAGCAACTTTCGCAATGGCTCGTTATAGGATGGGTGACCAAAAATTGATTATCTTAAACTCCTTCATGCTTTGGAAAGCATATTAAGCTGTGCCACAGCTGCATCTGCAGTTGTTAATACCCACCAATCCACAGTGGGCCTGTGTGATGGGTCATGGGCCATGCCCACAATTCAATTAGATTCCATCCATATGGAAAGCCTTAGGAAGACATTCTTCTAACCCCAGCAATTGGGACATAATAAGCTGTTGATGATAATCCTTTTAATGCTGTTATATCTAATAAGAATATATCAATCTGATTTTATTCACATCAATAAATAAAGATGTTTTATTGAATTATGAAAGACCACACATTTGTAAAAGTCAATTTCATTTATATAAAATCATATTTTATTAGAGGAATAAATATCACAAATGAATCTTGTAAAACAATAGATTTGTTGTGTGATCCATTTGAACAAATTTATTGTTTATTATGCTAAATAACATAACAACTATGTCTACTAACTTACCTGTGTACTTATTTCTAGAGGATTTGTAGTCTCTATCTCTCTCCTTGTCTGAACCTTTCTGCATGTAAGCATTTCGTGATGTTGGATAACCTCTGTCATCAACAACATGGTAGTGGTGGTGGCCATGACTGGAGTGACTCGAATGTGTGCTGTGTCCATGTGTAGAAAGGTTACCATTGGGGGATCGGAGAGGTGTGTACTGGCTGTCAGAAGAAACGTAGTCACCAGCTGTTCTTCTTTCACTTTTTGAATGGTACTTCTAAACAAAATAGCACTATGTTTACTAAAACATATTTTGTTTGTTTTACTTGAATAATTTGTCAACAGTTGATTAGGACATTTATTCAAGGTAGAACTTGACATTGAAGAGTAAATATCATGCCACTGATAAAAACTACAAAATATCATACTTTGAAGTCAATTTTAATACCTATTTACCCCAACACAGCAACCATTCAGTATATTTTATTTAGCAAAACAACTTCAAGTGAACACAACTATGTAATTAGATTAGAAATGAAAGGTTACAGATAATTTAATATGATGTACGAATAATATAATATAGACGGATCAGTCTGATTATAAACAGGAAAAAGACTGAAGCGGTCGGTTATTACGTAGAGAAGTAGGTACATAATTGAAGTCTACAGCTCTCCACGGAGAAATAAAAAGCTACTCGATGTACAGGAAATGCTCCAATTTGTTTACCTGATACGGATGGGCCTGATGCTTCTCAAAGTACCTGAAAACAAACAAAAATGTGAAAACCTACAGCTATTTTATAGCAAAACTCAATCGGCGACCGCCATCTACAGATTGTTAAGCCGAAGCATCTGAAACCATATCATACCCATCGCTTATCCGCTGAGGTTTCCTTGCATGCATTACCATCAATGCAAATATACGATTTATTACGGCCTCAGTAATAAAATGCAAACTAAGATCACTGTCATTAAAACAGTTTTACAGGAGGCCGTGATATATCTTGATGGACGCCATGTCACATTCAAGACACTCGAGAAAGAGTCAATAGACTTGAAAGGGACAAAAACTATGTATCGACATCGACAAAGGAGGAATGATGACCAACAAACGATTAAAAACTAATTTATTGTCTATGGAATTATATGTATCGTCTCGTCAGCATTCGATAGACATCTTTTTTTTCGTTTGTCCTTCACTACGGGGCGTTGGCAAAACTTTTGTTCACTAGGAGCGGGCGACACAACCCGTTTATAGATATTGATACGTATATTGTATCAAAATCGTAATATCCGATATTTTTGAAACACTATATTGCAGCATTGCTGAGATACGTCGAATTCGGTATCTCATTCGACATCTGATATATATAGAGGGATATCAAACCATATCACATCGTAATAGAATAAGGAAGTATTTAAAAAAAAGAAAGCACTATAAACCACCACACTAGATGCCGACTCTGACAAAAGTTGATTTTTGCAGGAAACGAATGTTCCTTTTAAATAACATATTAAAAAAACTGAAATTTAGAAACAAAATTAGCAACTTAAATATCATTACAAATACGAAAAAGTATAACCAGAATATGAGTTGTTATTGAATTAGAAAATTATTTAAAAATCAAGATTCGCCACGGATTAATTTTAATTTTAAATTAATTTTCAAAAGTCAATAAAGAATCCATATTCTCTTTGTACTTTTTCGTATTTGTATTGATATCTAAGTTTCGAACTTTTCAAGTTTCAGTTTTTTAATATGTTAGTTAAAAGGAACGGGAATGACTATCTTTGATGCATTTGTTTCCTGCAAAAATCAAACTCGTGCACGAAGGATTCCGTACCATTATTTCAAGAAACGCAACAAAAATCATTTTTATTGTATCTATCCCCTTTAAGAAGTGCCGTATTAAGTCTATTCGGCGCTTGGGTGCGGGACTCAGCCTGCAGCCTCATATTCTTTTACACGCTGCACGCGACCGGCAATACACTACAGTAAGAAAGGAGTATAAAAGTCAACCATAAAAACAAAATACACGTCATTTTGAAAATTTATTCATTTATTTCTCTAAAATGCAAAAGTAATATTAAATTTAGATTATACAAATTAAAGACAAAACTATTCTCCATTCGAGACATTATGTCCATTTTTAGGAATAAACACTAGAAAATTTATATAGTACTCTTTCGTCATCTCTAGATGTCTTAAATGTTTGTCATTATTGTCATAGTTTATTTTTTGTTATAAAATGTCTATAGAAAAAGTCGAAAAGGATTCCGGAAAACTCAAAACTAGTATGATGCGATATCTACGACTAGATCGCTTTGAGGAGGAGCCAAATGTTCCAGCAGCAGATCTGAAATGGAAGCACTGGCGTTTTACATTTGAGAAATTTCTATCTGAAGAATGTGGAAAGAATACTGTAGATTCTATAAAGCTAAAGCTGTTAGTTAACCACATATCCCCAACTATCTATTCTTACATTCGTAATATCTGAACATATTCGGAAGCTGTAGAAACTTTAGAAAATACTTATATTAAACCTAAAAACGAAATACTTGCCCGTCATCTATTAACATCGCGGAGACAAAAATCGGGAGAATCTCCCCAAGTAGCACAAAACACCATTATATCAAACTTGTAATAGCACGAGTCCAAGCGTTAAGCATTATAATAAAATCGTATATCAACCGTATTTCTTTTAAACGACTCTTATACGTAAAATTTGGGCCCCCCCTTTGTACGACTTTAAGCTGTATAAAAGCTGTGCAATAGCACTACAACTTTTGTATAATAGCATTAATAAAGTCGGCTAAAAGCATTCTAATAGCCACAAAAAGTTCAATTAGCACCTTAAAGTGCTAATTGAACTTTTTGTGACTATATTACAATTGATATGCGTTAATCAAAATTATAATACGTTAATTTAATGTTATAAAAATGTTTATTGTTTTATTTCCCTTGTAAAAAAAGTATATTTAATAGATTTTAAAAATATATAATCGGTTTAAGTTATTGTTTTGTGTAAGTGTCATGACATGTTCTTTTGGCTGGTCTTTTAAGTATTTTTTAATATTGATTTAAACAGCTCGTTATGTGTGAAATAAGCTGCAAACATCAGTTTGTGGAGTAAAATATACAAGTTTATGGTGTAAAATACACGCGCCTTCGCAAACTTCCTTTAATATAATAAAAATAATAAAAAATTTAACCTAGTAGCAAAATTTTTTGTTGAATTTTAGGCTTTTTAGCATTGTTTTAACAACATAATTGCTTTTATAGGCATCTGTGCACAAAATAAATAATTATTTACCCCTTTTCATCTGACACAGTTGACTTTAAATATTTTGTAAGAATTGGAAAAAGAAAGCAAATGGCGACTCGTAAAATTAAAGCATTAGGTATTCAAATATAGTGTAGTAGAGATGTTAATCGTATTATGGTTAGACACAAAACTAAGAGCTCGTAATTCACCGTATAACACACTCCCATTTTAGGTACAGCCGTATTTTAACACTTCAGAAGTATCTTATAGTGCTTATAATCATCAAACGATTATTTCATTTTTGTTTCAATTTTTAAAATTTTCAATTAAATTAGAATACTCTTTTTTCAGTTTTCTTTTATATCTTCTTCTTTTCTTTGTTTTTCCCAACGTTTTTTTGTCCATGGCGCCAGCGATGCGTATAAAATGCCACCATTACAATATAATACATAAAATAATTTTACATTTTAATTTCACATAAAAAATAATTACGATCTATTTATTACTTGTATCTCTATAAATAACTCAATATTGATCAAAATATAGCCTAATGTTTTATAAAAGCATAGATTAAGAAGATAAAGGAGCTTGAGCTTGATTAAAGAATACTTTAAGAACAAATCGGTGCTAAAGTTTTACTAGTTCTTTATTCAATGTGTATATAGGATAAGCATTAAATCGATACAACCATAGGCCATTAGAAAACCTTTGTTTCTAGAAAATGACTAAATACAACTAAGTGCACTAAATAATATTACGTTAATGCTCATATAATATATAATGTTTTTCATATCACCGAAATACGATAACAGCTTTATATTAATATTACCCAATACTTAAATAGGAGTTTTGACATTGGTATACTTTTTTTATTAACCATAATAAAAAAATCTAATAATGCATAATATGGCATTAAGCATTATTAGATAAAATAAATGCCTTTAAACAGATTCGAAACTTGACCAGTGCTGATTAAAAATGTTAGTATGACTTTAGGACATAAATCGGTACTTATTTTAGTTAATATATTATTTATGTGCTACTTGGGTTTAAAGGAGTACGTACAATCCCTAAATTATTAGCTCTTGAATATAAATTCCAGGCTGTAACCGCTGAAGTTTACCAAACTGAAATGATATGTGATATTTATTGCCGGAAATAATTCCCCAAAAATAAGAGAAAGATTATTGGAAAAACCAAACCTTACCTTAGAAGAAGTCATGAATCTAGCCATGTTTTTAGACGACGCTGAGACTAATACTCAAGCCTTCACGAACGCGAACTCTTTTCTAAATCTCATCGCAGTACCGAATTCGCCCGCTACCTTCTTGACTTCTCACCAGAACACTAAAGGACGTATCACAAAACGTTGCTTCATTTGTGGTGGAAACGTGCACCAGAAAATCAAGTGCCCAGCTTTCCATGCTGAATACCAGCTCTGCCCAAAGACAGGTCATTTCGCTAATGTTTGTCGATGCGGTCTGCCTCAAAGAGTAAATGCTGTAACTGAAAATGAGATAGAACTAAGTGAAAGCAAAGAAACATTGTCTGTAATATTAGCTGCTTCACCAAATAGTCTCAAAAAGGCTACTGTATTTATTACTGTCAATGATTATCCAGCAGGTGCATTAATCGATACAGGGAGCTCTGTGAGCTTTATAGATCGGAGCTTAGCACAAACTATGAAATTGAAGATGAAACCTAGTAGACAATCTATTACACTAGCCTCCTTAAGCCACATTTCTTTTGTTGATGGCCTTTGCTACGCTACAATCAAACACTTTGCTTATCAGTACAAGCAACATCCTTTATTAATCGTGAATAACTTATGCGCAGATGTCATTATCGGTCACGACTTACTCAAAAATCATTCTTATTTGCACTTTGAATTCGGAGGTTTTGTACAACCGTTGAAAATTTGTAATGTAATGGCGGCATTACTACCTCCTGTTTCTCTTTTTACAAAACTTACTCCTCATATAAAGCCAATTGTCGTCCGATCCAGACGTTATAGTTCAGAAGACGAAAGTTGCCTCAAATCTGATATAAATAAACTTCTTGAAGACGGGATTATAGAGCCTAGCGTATCGCCTTGGCGAGCACAAGTTTTGATTGCAGGTGGAGGTGCCCACAGAAAGAGAATGGTGATAGATTATTCCAGGACCATTAATAATTATACAGAGTTAGATGCATTTCCCTTACCAAATTTAGAAACCATCGTATCAAAAGTAGCCAAGTTCAACCATTTCAGTCAAATTGACTTAAAATCTGAATATCACCAAGTGCCTATTCTACAGAAAAAAAGAATTTACACGGCCTTTGAAGCAAATGGCAAAATCTATCAATTCACTCGTATTCCCTTTGAAGTCACCAATGGTGTTGCTGCCTTTCGGCGTGTCTTAAAGTACATTATAAAAACAGAAGTTTTAAAGGGCACGTATGCTTAACTTGATGACGTCACAATTTGTGACATAGACAAAACCGATCATGACGCCAATCTCGCAAAATTCATGGAAGCGGTGGCCAAATATGCTCTCACACTAAATAAAGAAAAGTGTATTTTTGACACAAATATCGTTAATCTCCTCGGGTATACGATTCAGGATAACATCATTAAAACGTTTCAGACGTTTCAAGAATTTTCTGGAAAAATCTTCCTCACATAAAAGAGCGCTCGGCCTCTTTGCTCATTACTCTAAATGAATGCAAAATTTCTCAGAAAAGGTAAAACCATTATTACCTATTGACAATTTTCCATTAT